AAATAATTTTGCTGCCAAGAGATTGTAAATGTATGAAAAAATCCTCTGACAGCTTACTTCACTCACTGTCTACAAGCCAGCGTCTGTGTGCCAAAGTCAGAAGACTAAGATGAAGAACATAATTAAGGAAACATATGAAGGCTAGCGCAGGGTTTGAGATTAATTAGCTGTGCGTCAATAATCTCATCAATATCCGATTAACAAATGACACATTGCCCAATGAAACATATTGATTCATTCACACTCCACACTGTTAATAAATTGAAGCTGCTTTGCTAAATGAGAGAGCTGACAAAATAATAGCTTCCTAATACTTTCCTAGTATTGTGATAAAAACATAAAATTAGCCTGAAGTATACTTAATTTAGCAGCACTGTCACTGCACTCATGAAGCTTTTTAACATGATAGGGCAGGGAAGAAGTGTTTTCATCTCTTTATAGACTAATTGTGCCTGGATGGGCTACGAAAAGAGATGGATGATCTATAGATAAGTACAAAATTAGATGACATGTTTGTATTTGAAATATAGTTCCTAGCTTGAATGGTTTTATGGATGTTTCCATTTTTGAAAAAAAAAAACAACCCAAGCTTTTTAAAGGAATGTAGGAATGTAGGGAAAAAATGAAGTGTTGTGCAACTTACCCATAAATAGTAAATATGGAAAAAAATTATATAAATTCTTGGCTTTGTTAAAATTTGCTATTGACTTCCATTCAATTAGTCTTTAATGGTCAGTATTTGTATATGCAAAACTATATGTTGCAGAAGGCCATATGAAAATTTGAACTGTTGATGAGGAAAGCAGGTGTAGAATTAAACAAGAGTTTTCCTTTTTTCAGTTAATGGCACATGATGGTGGCTTTCACTAAAGACATTCCTTGTAAAAATGTGCAAAAGTGTGGCAGACCGGGAGTGAATATTATTTATTTTTCTTGTTAAACCATTAAAAGTGTTCAGAAGTGTGGAAAAGTCATAGGAGAAGTGTGAAGTAGTCTGAAAATATGTTTTTGCTATTTAAGTGGTACCACCTGTATGGCCAAGTTATAGTTTCTTGTGGAATTTGATACATCTCAATTGCAATTTGTCTTAGATATGTTAACACTGAAGAGAGGTGTGTGTTTAAGTGGAGGGGAGGGTAACCATTTGCTTTCACTGCAACTCTGCAGGTTTCAACATTTTTTTCCTGCACAGTACAGTAAAAAAGCCCTTTCCAAGCAAAAAATGTGAGTAGCTGCCTGAGAACTGCTAGATGCAGGTTCAGGTCCTTTTGCTGTGGATCAGAAAAAGATTTGAAAAAACCCCAAACAAACAACTTCCAATCACGTGGAGGGGGATTTTCATTCTGGGAGTCTCCACATCTCTTGCCTAACTACTCTTTTAAAGACTCTCTTTTTCCATCTGTGAAACTTCTGCTTCAGCACAAATAAATGTTCAAACCAGCACTAGTGTTTCTACTCCTCATCTAAAATCAATGGAGGTTACTCGTGGCAGCTCTCATTTACTTAGGACCCAGGCTTGTGAAGTTCTGAGCCCTCCGGCCTTCAGTGTGTTCAGTACCAGAATGCTTATTACAGGAACTTTGCTCCTTTTGGTTTGCGTAGCCCAGCAGCACAAAAGCAGGTGTAAAACCAGCTTAGCCAGCCAACTGGGGATTCTCTCTGCCTAGGGGAATTATTAGGTGGTGAACAGTCAGCTGTGTTGGCTCTGTGCCCATCCCCTGTGCCAGTGTATCAGGCGTGTCAGGAGAATGGCTGGAATGCTGCCGCTCTGGTAATTCCAGGCTGCTGGAATAGCTTGCTGGTGGTCATTGCCCAGGGTGCAACTTACTGTAAGTCTACAAAGCACACTTAGCCCTGCTAAGCAGCAGGGCACATTAACTCGGGTGAAACACCATGATAAAATGGCTAGACTGCTTATTCAGAGGGAACTCTGCTATCTCTACAATGGCCTTGTATTTTTCACTGTGGATGCAGAACTATCTTAAATTGTGGTAGAAGCAAAAACCTTTTTCAGCTAGTGCAGAGCTAAAAACTATAGAGGTGTTTTAAAAAATCATGTCAGAATTATGCCAATAATTTCATAATTAAAGCCAGAATGCAGCAAATCGTTTAAGCATGTGTGCAGGCAATGAGCTTGCCATCAAATGTGGTATGTCCTAAGGTCCATATGAATCATTAGCTTATTTTAAATAATTCTCATCTCAGATTTGCCAGAAGGGAGGCTTTTTTTTTTTAAGAATTTCAAATAAAATATTGTGGAAATCTGGAGCTCATGGCATTTGTTTTTAATTGTGACAAGATGTGTCTACACGTGTATTAAGACATGTTTGAATGTGAGGTACTAAACAAATGTGCATTAAGCTGCCTTAATGAGCAGTAAAGAATGCACACAGTTTTTAAGTGATGCTTAATGTGCAGAAGCCGGTTTTACTGTGCATTAAAGTAACAGCACAGTATGTGATGCTTTAATGTGTGGTAAAATAGGCTACTACGCATTAAAGCACACATAGAGGCATACATGCTCGCTGTGTCTTAATCAGGCGTTGGTAGGGTAAGACTGATGTTGTAGCTATGATGGTTCAGAAATTATCTGAGGCAAGGATTTCTCAGGGTGATATCTTTGATTGCCCCAATGATGTAGTTGGGATAAAGTTAGAGAAGGTTTTGAATACAAGACTAGAGAAAGAATGTCTTGCATTTGTGAGCTTGTCTAACTTTATCCCGACTACATCGTTGGGTCAATAAAAAATATCACCCCAAAAAATCCTTGCCTCCTACTTAATCAGGCTTTGCAAGTAATGGTGATGCATTTGCAACCTTAAGTCTTAGTCTTCACAAGGTTATTTTGTCTGCCAGTAAAAATTAGTGATCAAAAAGGTATTTAAGTACTATAACCCATTGCCTTTCATTTCATGGTTGTTTCCTCCAGTGAAGTGCTGCTCCTAACTCAAGTTTTAAATGAACCAGTGGATGTTTGGTCCATCTGTACTTGGCTTTTAACTGTCATTAACCTTTTAGGGGTCTATGATTTGATATGAATAACTTGAAACAATTAAGATTTTATTACTAGTCTTAATATTTAGAGTTCCCAGTGGAGTTCTGTATGTTTTAAAATGAAATCATTATTTACTGGATTACGAACTCTTTGCAAATTCCTCCCTTTCCCCCCCACCCCGTACTGAAACTGCAATGCATTCATGGTCTAACTTGTAAGAAAAAGAACTTTCTGTGCTATACAACACCTACCAGTGTTTGACATTTGAAAGTCTGATTATATCAACACTCCAAAATACAGTTTACAGAGTTTTTACTGGGTTGGTCATTAGTATAATCTCTGTTGCTGTTAGTAGTACAGTGTTAGAGGTGGGGCTCCCTTCATGTAACAAGAAAATATGACTATGAAATTTGACTATGTAGTAACCAAGGGCTCCACTAAAACTGAGATCTAATAAAGGCACTACTCGTTCACAGAGTAGCAGACAGTTCCTTTGATGAAGAATGTCCAGTCCAACAAATGCCACTTGGAGAATGAACTGTATTTTCAGAAACATTCCCATAAACATGTATTCACTGAATGAAATTCTTGCCCAGATGGAAGTAAACTAGCCCTAGTCTATTTGCATCAGCCTCCAAACAATATGACATTGACCCCTGGATAGATCAGAATCTCTTCAGGGATTCCAGTTTGCTGCAGTATGTCTCATGATTACACAAGTATGACTAACACTGTTAATTAACCTGATGTTCCCCATCTTCTCATTCTCTTTAAACCTAATCAAGTACAAGCCTTTGCACAGACATGCATCTTTCCTCATCTTCAGTTCTCTAATTTGTATATTTGGAACCAAAAGTAACAGGCTGGTATTTCCTCTCTCATATCCATGGGGTTTTTGCATCTAATGTGCACTCCAGCATTTAATAACTAAGTTCCCCATTGGTTCAGTCCTGTAAGTGGAAATGTGTTGGACTAAACTCTCAGTCACAGGAAGTCCTTACGGGGCAATCAAGAGCACCTGCAATGTCCATTAAAATCATTTGGTGACACAGAAGTGCCTCCCTTCTTGGGACTTAGCCCATCATTCCCTCTTGGTCACAGTCACCAAAATAACTATCTGCTCAGGTAGTACTCGAAATTAGTAGCTTCACTGAGGAGCACATGCCCACCAACGGTTCTGAGTGAGTGTCATCCAGCAGCAGTTCAGTAAAAAGTATACTTCCTGACAATAGTATAGTGATATTCTGAGAGCAGTTAACAAGGGCAAGGACAAACGTCTGTCTGCCTTCAGGGAATGATCCTCACAAACCAGCAGGAAGAAAATCTAATTGGAAGTGTCAAAATCAGTTGTTATTAAAGCAGGAGGAGAGCTGAAGTTCTGGCTATTGACCTGAGCTTTCTGCCACTCACAAAGTCAAACTTGCTCCCTCCTAAAAATGAAAGACCAGATACCAGGTGCTCTCCCACACAACTTTAGCAGCCTCACTCCTTCTCCCATCTGCTCTTGATAATTATTTTCTTCCTTTAACTGGTAGCCTCTTTCAAAAAGCAAGCATTTTCCTATAGCTCCATTCATCTTCATGAGTCAAGCAGTTAACACTCCTTGTGTTATTAATTTTTATTTTAATTAATTCTTGTGAGCCTTTTTAAACTCTCCTGGGACCTGACCATCAGCTAGCTTCCTCACCCACACCTTTTCCCACCCAGCTTTATAGTAAAAAGCTGGCAAATCTTTGTAACCTTTCCCCAAACCAATAAATGAATAAATGAAAAGGCCATATTTGGCTTACTAGCTCGCCCTGATTGCTGCTTCTTTCATTTAGCAGAAATTCTATGAAATCTTGTTGAAGGCCAGAGTTCGCCCTGAAAAATAAGACCCAGGTGCAAGGTAGAGTTGCACTCATTACAAGTTAGGATGGATTCAGAAGTAGCAGTCAGGATAAGATCTATAAAGTCTGTGAAACTCACTGAAGGGATGTCAGCTGAGGAAACCCAGGCTCTTTGTCCTGGATGCAGCTCTTTCAGAAATATCTCAGCTAATGCAGTGCTGGTTGCTGACTATGTAAAAGGTAAGTGTTTTATACTATTACCGACCGTTTCTGATACTTTTATTTTTACCTTGACCTCTGCCTCTACTGCAATCCATATTCATGTCTTATTCACTTTCTGTCTCACGGAGGACGGTTCTCTTTGATGGTCCTGCTACATCTCTACTCTCTAGAGTTCAGGGCTTCTGGAACATTGTGGCTAGATTATTCTCACTGCAGGAAGCACCTTCATATTTTGTCACCTCTATTAACATCTTATACATGATTCTGAATCCCCATTAGTCACCTCTGCTCTTCGTATTTCACCTCATAAAAAAACCCTCTATGTTCACATCAGCCCCTTGTGCTACTGATATGCTGAAAAATGTGAAACTCCATTCACCTTTCTGAATACCTCTGTTCTTCAATTAAGTCCTGCCTGCATGGCCACTCAAGACATAAACCCACTGTAAGCAGAATAAGGCCATTGCTACCTTGACCTGAGTTACTGCTATGCAGTTTGTTATGTTGATGGTAACTAGTGTATATGCTGGTCTGACTCACTGCAGCTAGTTTAGGTGGAGATTTTTCTGCCTTATAACTGCTGTTGTGAATTTGGCTTATATTTTCAAATGTGTTAACCAAGCTCCCTGTCATGGGTTGCTTTAATTTGCTGTCTCTGTGAGTTGCTGTCTCACCCTGAATCCCATCCAGGTGCTACTGAAGTGACTGGATATCTGTCCATTGACTATAACGGCTTAAACTGTATCTCTATAACCCATGATCATTAAGTGTTTTCTCAGATATTGGCTAGGGGTGCTAGGTCCAGTTAATGTGTTGTGCATTAAGAATTTATTCTGCTCTTAGTCTTTTTTTTTTTCATCGCCCATTAATAAATATACCCTACATATGTTTTCTTGGCATGTTGGCTGTAATGTAATTGGTGCCCACAGCTTGTGCCATGATCCTTTTTTTGATGTTGTAAGGTGAGGACAGCACTAGGATGTATCCATACCTCACAGATGGAAGGCAGTGATGAGAATGGGCCATGAGATCCAAAGTCATGTGTCTTTAGTGGCACTGCTGCCCCTTGCAAGCCACGTGGAAGTGCTATGGTCACTTAGCTTAGATACTATGGCCAGGTACAGACGTTACCTAATGCACGGTAGGCATGCAGAAAGAGCTCCACAGTCATAACTGTATAGATGGTCAGGGCACATAAAATGCTGTAAAAATTGCAGAGGATAACTCTGGATGTATGTGGCATTAGATTTCAGCACTGTAAGCTAGAGTGGAGTAACAAACATCTGTACCACATCCCATTGAGACCCACTGTAGGTAGCGTTTTGCTGACATCCCATGGAGCATTGTGGCATCCCCATACCCACTCTTGCCGGGTGGTGGTCTAGCCATGGCCAGTGCTTGAATCTGCCTGAGTGCTAGGCTGGCCCAGCCCCCGTGCTGTCACTGTAAAGTCAGCACAGCCCTGTTTCTTACCCCGACAGCCCTGTTTTGTCCCCATCTCTTGTTCTCTCCAGCCAGCTATCAGCCACTGTCTGGTACTCTTGCTTAGTGTGCTGATTCCATCTACCCTATCTGATGCCCTCCCAGGCCAGAGTGGTGGGGCAGGCTGCGGCTCCTGCCATGGAGAGCCCCACTCCAGACACTGCTCCTTACAGCGACATGGCTGAAAGTCCCATGGGGAGGTGGGTGGTGGGGGGCATGGCAGCCATGGGGGAATGCTCCAGACCACACATTGATTGTGGGATGCTGGGGCTGGAGGGGCCCCAGAACAGGAGATATGGAGTGTGAGAAACTGCTGACCTATGGTCCAAGGAGACAAGAAGGTGTTGTCTGAGGCCTGTTCCAGGAAGCAACAGTGTGGGTGGGGAGGGGACCAGGCTGCCCAAGATCCAATGCCAGGGCTGGTATTTACTCAGCTCACCTTCCTGGACCAACTTATTACAACAGGCCACTGGCGGTCACCACTGTAGGTGCAGGGCCCCTAAGCGAACAGGGGGTGGGGAGGGTGTCCCACCAGCTCACCAAGCCAGACCATTTCAGACCCAGTTCCCACTACAGGGGATGGCAGCCCCCTGGACTCTGGTCCAAGTTCTGGAGTGGACAAAATTCCAGTTTTTCTTTATTATGCACATGGAAAGTTTGGCAGCTGCAACATTTAATTAAACTGAGGGGCAGCAGTTCTACATATGGCATTCCCCCTGCCCCTCGCCTGGTTTCTTTTTTGTTAAGTTGAGCCCCCTATGGCTGCCCATCACCCTCTCACCATCCATGGCATAACTGCCTGCTTCAGGCAGGGTCTTTCCACACTCTCTGAATTGTAACTGGGAAGAAGGGTCCAAGTTCCAGAGTGGACAACATTGCACAGTTTTTGTTTAATAAACACACTAATAGTTTGGCAGCTTCAACATTTGATTAAAATGAGGCACAACTCTTTCTTGCACTGCATTCCCGTAGAGGGATTGGCAAGGGAGAGGAGGAGTGAGACAGTGCACAGGTAGCTTGGGTTGTGGGAAATGGTGCCTGTGACACAGGACCAGAGGAGCCCATGACAGGAGACCCATGGCCTGGTGCCAGGGCATGGGCACTTGAAGCCTTCCAGCCCTACTCATCTGGGGAGGGCTCCTGGTCCACACAGGTGAGGAGGTAGTGAGCCAGGGCTTCACATATCCAGACAGACTGCTGTGGCGTGGAGCTGGGGCCATACACATCAGTGGGAGGGATCACCCTTTCCCCTATCCCTGTGCCACGTGCTTGTGGTGCCAGGCCCAGTCTGTAGTTGAACTGCTTCTTCCAGCAGTCCAGCTGCCTCACAAGCCAGGGAAGGAGGGGATAGGCCAGGCCTCTGATGAGGACTGGGGGTGGTAATGATGATGCTGATGCTGAAATTGGGGGCTCTGGGAGCATAGTGCCTGCTTTCTATCACATCAGGGGACAGGGAGTTGTGCAAGAAGAGGGCATCATCCTCATTGGCCATGTGAAAGTTGGTGGCCCAGTCATGGCCCAGATGCCTGAGTTCTCTGTCTGCATATGTGTGTCTGTGTGTCCAGAATATCTGCATTCTGTGTATGTGTGTATGGGGTGTCCAGGGGGGCAGCTGTGATGTCTCCACCAGTCAGTCAGGGCAACTCAGCCATTTGTCTCCTCTTGGGGGTCTTTGGCAGTCCAGGGAGCCTGTGGGGCACACTGGGAGGCTTGTGAGAGTCCCCCCTACCTACTGTGCTCAGGCTGTGCAGGCAGGCTCTGGGCCCCCTTCCCCACCCCACAAGGGGTAACATGTTCTGCTTGCTCCCAACCTAACCTTGGGCACTTAGAGTAAAGCTCAAAAGTTAGAGTGCTACTACCACAGGCTTTTTGAATGCCTGCACTTACCTTTGTTCCCAAACTACGAAGTAAAGAGCTTGGGAGTGTTAGTAACTGGGCCCTGGTTTGGCTCTTGTGGCTTCATAGTGCTGGCTGCTCCCCACAGGTATGTGATGTGAGTAAAGGAGGTGGGTATATTTGTTCAGGACAAATGGACAAGAAAGTCCATTGCCTTCACAAATTGTTGGCTACCCAGACTTTATCTCGGGCTTCTTGATTTTTATAGTTGGCAGGAGGGGGTTGTGCTAGTGTGGTATTGATATTGCTGGAGTAGGGAAGGTGGCACAAAGTATGGAAAATTTTCCAGTGATGGCAGCACCTGCTGACACTAGACAATGGAAACGGGTGCTAATAAAGCAACGTTTTTTTAATGTATCTAGCCAGATTTCCCCCCTTTGAGCTTTTATGGACTTGTGTTACTTGTGTTTAATGAACTTCACTCTGGTTTCATACTTCTGTTCTGCCATGGATCTCCTTAGTGACAATTCATGGGGATAAAAGATCATTTTTTGCTTGCCCTGTGTCTTTTGTTTGGAGACATTCTGAGCATGGAGTATCTTTTCCTATGTGCGGAAACTACCCTAACAACCCATCAGTCCTAACTGGGGCCTCTCTGACCTCTACTGTAAGATGAATATGAAATAACGATGCACAAGGATAAGATATCCATCGGCAGTGTTTTGGAATTCTCTCCACTGTGTTGTGCACCCCGGGTTCATTCACTGGTGGCAGGAGCTCTTTCAAAAAGCATTTTTAGACACTAAACCAAATACTTGTTTAAAAAAATAACAAAACCCAGCAAGCTTTTGAAACATTGTCTTTGTTTCCTTGGTTTGTTTTTTTTTTTTTTTTTTTTTTTCCTGCAGTCCTCTTCCCTTTTATTGGTGACAGACAGAAAAGATTGTTGCTTGTGTTAGTCGTAAACTTCCTTTTGTCAGAGGCCTTTCCACCATCTGTCATTGAATAACTGTTTGTTCCCAGGTTTGTAACCTTAATGTGTTTTTGCTGTTTTGTGTACAGTACGTTACATGTTATAAAAGCTCAAGTAAATAATTCATGTAAAAACCTTTGTAAATATTGTCAAACCGTGGAAGAAATGATTTACTAAGAGGTCTCTTGGCTCAGTCTGGAAGCTTTATTACTGTAACTTGTTTACCAAACAACCCCCCTCCTCTACATTTTCCATCAAGTGACTTTATGTAAATGCAATTTAAAAAACTACTTACATCTATTTCAATCAACATAAATAATGAAAGATTTTTTTTTTTTACAGTATTAACAGTTAAACCATCTGGAGCTTCTATTCAGAATGGAGCCAAAGGTGTAAAATTCATTGTGTAAAATTTAAAGGGGCAGATCCTCAGGTGGTGTGACTTGGTATCTCCATCAACTTTAAGGCTGATTTATACCAGCTGAAGTACTGGTTCCATACTGTAGTTCAAAGGATGTATTTGTTTAGAAGCTTAAACTTGCAAAGATGTACACATGTGCTTCATTTTACACACAATGGAAGTTACATTAAGTTTTCAGTCATTAAAGTTAAGCATGTGCATAAATCTTTGCTGGATCAGGGCCTTACAACACAGTGGTTTTAGCTAAAAAAAAAAAATACTGTGGCTTAAAAAAGACTTGGTTGAATTGTGACTTGTTATCAGCAT